TCTACACACAATACCCCATAACGACAAAGCAAAAACAGGTTTAGCAATTTTAGCATTTTTTTATACTGAAATATAACATAGGTTTTCTGGAAGGTTCTCTCATCTCCACAGAGGAACTCTGGAGCTCTGTCAGAGTGACCATCGGGTTCTTGATCACCTCCCTGACCAAGGCCCTTCTCCCCCGATTGCTCAGTTTGGCCGGGCGGCCAGCTCTAGGAAGAGTCGTCATGGTTCCAAACCTCTTCCATTTTAGAATGATGGAGACCACTGTGTTCTTTGGGAACTTCAATGCTGCAGAAATGTTTTGGTATCCTTCCCCAGATCTGTGCCTCGACACAATCCTGTCTCGGGGCTCTACGGACAATTCCTTCGACCTCATGGTTTTTGCTCTGACATTTACTGCCAACTGCGGGACCTTATATAGACAGGTGTGTGCCTTTCCAAATCATGTCCAATCAATTGAAATTACCACAGGTGGACTCCAATGAAGTTGTAGAAACATCTCAAGGATGATCAATAGAAACAGGATGCACCGGAGCTCAATTTCGAGTCTCATACCAAAGGTATTTCTGTTTTTTATTTATTTATACATTTGCAAAAATGTCTAAAAACCTGTTTTCCCTTTGTCATTATGGGGTATTATGTGTAGATTGATGAGGTAAAACATTTATTTAATCAATTTTAGAATAAGGCTGTAACGTAACAAAATGTGGAAAAAGGGAAGGGGTCTGAATACTTTACCGAATGCACTGTATGCCCCCTCCTATCCCCATCTCTGCCCCCTCCTCCCCTCTAATCCCCATCTCTGCCCACTCCTCCCCCTCCAATTCACATCTATGCCCACTCCTCCCCCTCCAATCTCCATCTCTGCCCTCCCCTCCAATCCCCATCTCTGCCCTCCCCTCCAATCCCCATCTCTGCCCACTCCTCCCCCTCCAATCCCCAAGTCATGGACGGGAGAGATGGAGAGGGAGGAAAGAGATGAGGAGCGAGAGAAAGAGAGGGGGGGGGGGGGGGGGAGAAAGAGAGATAGGGGAAGAGAGAGAAAGAGAGATAGGGGAAGAGAGAGAAAGAAAGAGGGAGAGAGAGCAAGAGAGAGCGAGAGAGAGAGAGAGAGAGACATCAGAAGGAGGACTGGATGGTTGTGCTCTATTGACTCCATTAAGCCATGAGAAAAGCAGGTCTGTCAGTTTACTCCCCCAACCGTTCATTTATTGACATACACAAATACAGGCCTGGCTGCACAGCGTATTCTAATACTCACACATCACTTCCTAAATTCGTTCTCAAGCAAAGTTTGAACACAAACTTGTGCTTATCCAAGCTAGAAAAACACAGTAAAACTCAAAACAATGTATGGACAGGACAATCTTCAGGGGTTTATGTAGACACAGTGGTCCCTTTGAGGGGAGGAAGCTGTCAGTGTCAGTGGGCACAGCAAGGGAAAGCCCCTGTGAGACCTGGGCCTCCAAAGTAACTCTATCCCAGGTAGGGATATTCTGTCTGGGGCTGGGGCTGAAGCCTGACCTGGCCTGGGTGGCTTGGGAAACAAAGGCCTCCTCAGTGTCTGTGTCCACACAGACCAGCCTTTATCCACTCACCTGAGGCTACCACATCCACCCACTCACCTAATGGACTCATCCACTGAAGGGTTTATTATTCCTTGTATTATTTGTTATTATTTTTCTATTATATCTCTATGTTCTTTCTCTCTGCATTGTTGGGAAGGGCCCGTAAGTAAGCATCTCACTTTTCACCTGTTGTTTTTACGAAGCATGTGACGAATCAAAAGGTATTTGACTACCATATTGCCGCATTGACACACACATCCCACACACACGACCCTGACAAACACACCTGTGCAAATATTCCAATCCACTGATCTATACTGAACACAAATATAAACGCAACATATAAAGTGTTGGTCCCATGTTTCATGAGCTGAAATAAAAGATCCCAGAAATGTTCCATTCGCACAAAAAGTTTATTTCTCTCAAATTTTGTGCACAAATTTGTTTACATCCCTGTTAGTCAGCATTTCTCATTTGCCAAGATAATCCATCCACCTGACAGGTGTGGCATATCAAGAAGCTTATTAAACAGCATGATCAATACAGAGGTGCACCTTGTGCTGGGGACAATAAAAGGCCACTCTAAAATGTGCCGTTTTTTTCACACGCCACAGTTTTGAGGGAGCGTGCAATTGGCATTCTGACTGCAGGAATGTCCACTAGAGTTGTTGCCAAAGAAACAAATGTTCATTTCTCTACCATAAGTCGCCTCCAACGTCATTTTAGAGAATCTGGCAGTACGTCCAACCGGCCTCACAACCACAGACTACGTGTAACCACGCCAGCCTAGGACCTCCACTTCCAGGTTCTTCACCTTTTGTGGGGGAAAACTCATTCTGATTGGTTGGCCTGGCTCCCCAGTGGGTGGGCCTGGCTCCCAAGTGGGTGGGCCTATGACCTCCCAGGCCCACCCATGGCTATGCCCCTTCCCATTCATGTGAAATCCATAGATTAGAACCTCATTTTTGTTCAGTATCAGTCTATATCCTCAATCCTGTATACAACCCTCTGTCTGGGACAACATACTGCAGACCGCTCCGCTTGACAGCCCTCAGTGAGAGAAGAGAGGCCAATTAACCTTGTCAGGCTGGGGAGGGTGAGGGGGGTGAAGGAGGGAGGAGGATGGGTTCTGTCAGGTCCTGGGCTGTCATGTAGAGGGGTCAGGACTACAACAGCAGCACCAGCAGCCTGCCCCACGCTAGGCTACACAACACTACCTCAGCTACAGTCAAAACACCTTTCCTACTGACAGGTTGTTTTCAGTGCTTCTGAAAACATGGACTTGAAATATTTATGAGAGTGTTACCCAGTAAATATTAACAAGGTCAGGAACCAAGAGTCAGTACACCAGCATCAATATAGAGGGAGGGAGACAGAGAGGGAGAAGGAGAGCAGGGGGGAGAGAGAGGGAGATGGAGAGCAAGAGGGAGGGAAATGGAGAGAGAGTAGGAAGAATAATTAGAACAGGTTGTGTGGGGGGTTTCTTAACGGTCCAATCCTGCCATTTTTACATCAATATCAAATCATTTTTGGGTAACAATGAAGTACCTTAATGTGATTCTTTTCAATTAAAATGGTCAAATAGAAACAAAAATAGCTTCTTAGCAAGGACTGTCTGGGAGTGGTCTGAGTGGGGAGGGAAAAAATTAAAACAAGCTGTTATTGAAAGAGAGGTTTGGAACGCTTTCTTATAGGTCTATTAACTAATTTAACACCTGGTGATGTCATCAGGCAGGCCAAAACTCCATCCCACCAGAACAGGCTGACATTAAAGGCGGTCTTTTCAAACAGCTCTTACAATAAAAGGGCATTAACATAATTTTCACAATTTCACAGTAGAATTCCAACCTCAGTGTAGAAATATACATAAAACACAGGAAAATCACATTTTTTGACTGCACTGGGCCTTTAACATTATAAGATTAGCATATGTATTTTTACTTAGGAATGTGTGCAGTGTTGGCTTAAGATAAAAGGTTTTGATATGTTTCCTAGATTTCCTAGCTGGTCCATCCTATAATAATAATAATAAGGTGGGGGCTTGTATTTGTCCTGTTTCACTCATGTACAAGTGTGTATTATACTCGTGTGTGAATTAGAAATGTGTTTTCTGCATATTCCAACTCCCCGAGACACCCTTTGAGAGTCTCTCAGTTTTCTGCATTCAATATGTTGTATGTATATTATTGCTCAAAGTGTGTCTGCTTGCGCAAGTAAGAACCAGAGAATAATGTAATTGCGGAATAACCCTGAAATATAAACCATTGAACCATATTAAAACAGAACCCGTAGAAACCCAGTGAAACATATTAGGCACACAGAGTGGAGCTGGGGCTGACGTAGAGAACAGCTAATGAAGCAAGAGGAGCCTGTCTCTGCCAGAGGTCTAGTGTTTAAAGGTAGATCAGAGCCACTTCTGCCTTTGTCAGAGAGGAGGTATGTGAGGAATGTGGCCAATTTCAGGATACCCCTGCGTGTCCCACTCTCCAGTTCCGTGGGCAAAACATCACTCTCATAGAAGCACACAGTCACACAAAATGGCTGCCAGATCAGACAGGGTTTCCTGGTTGGACCCATGCAGAGATGGTAGTGAAGGTCAGGCCTGAGGGATGGGTTGCTAATTCAACACATGAACCTACCTCACCACCTTGGACTAATAACACTGGTAGAACCCACCACCTTGGACTAATAACACTGGTAGAACCCACCACCTTGGACTAATAACACTGGTAGAACCCACCACCTTGGACTAATAACACTGGTAGAACCCACCACCTTGGACTAATAACACTGGTAGAACCCACCACCTTGGACTAATAACACTGGTAGAACCCACCACCTTGGACTAATAACACTGGTAGAACCCACCACCTTGGACTAATAACACTGGTAGAACCCACCACCTTGGACTAATAACACTGGTAGAACCCACCACCTTGGACTAATAACACTGGTAGAACCCACCACCTTGACCTAATAACACTGGTAGAACCCACCACCTTGACTAATAACACTGGTAGAAATGGAACATGAGAGTAAACTAGAGGCCTACGAACTAAGAGAGCCCAGACGATGACCACTGTTCAGACACTGACCAGTATTACACTGTGTGATTGAGTGACTAGTGACCATCTCACGCACATGCACACTCTGCTGTCAGCTGATACAATAGGGCTGTGTGTGTGCGTTTGGTTTTACTATCCTTGTGGAGACCAGAAGTCCTTACAGGGATAGTAAAAGAAGGAACATTTGGAGAAGTGGGGACATTTCGCCGGTCCCCACAAGGAAAAAGGCTGTGTGTGTAGATCAGCAGCATGGTTCTCTCACCCTCCGCAGGGCCTCTTCTTCCTCCTGGCGCTTCTCGTAATGTGCAAAGTCATCAAAGATTGAGGTGGTATGCTTGAAAGTGGCGATAATTTTAAGCACTTGCTTGGCCTTCTCCAGAGGCACCTCCTGAGTGTCCCTGGAGTTGGTGACGGGCTTGTTGTCATTGTTCTCTAGTCTGATGTGCCTCAGCTGGCTGTTGGGCACGTCCTTCACAAACGCCCACTTCACCTCAAACTTGCCCTTCCACTTGTCCTGAGACCAGACGCCTGCGTAGGCGTTGTAGTCCACGGGCGAGCGCATCTCAGCCACGCCGCAGAAGTGGCCGCTGCCGTTGACGCTGAACAACAGGTAGAGGGGCCCCTTGGCCCCCAGCGAACGGTAGGCGCCGTCCAGGCGCTTGTTGCCGTGCTCGGTGCTGCACCAGATGGAGTACTTGATGGAGCGGTGGATGTCGTCCTCAGAGTAGCTCTTGATGATGAACACGCGGCCGTTCTTCAGGTTCCAGTCAAAGTCTTTGGGGTTGTAGTTGTTGAGGGCCTGCAGTTTCTCCAACACGGGGTGCACCTCCCCGGAGCAGGGAGAGGCACTGAGGGGGACCCCACCAACACCAACACCCATCCCAAAGCCCTCCGCCCCTCCCTGGTTGAAGGTGCCCCTGTTCCGGGGTGCCACCCAGCGGTTCTGGGGTGGGGGTTGGTGTTGGTGTTGATGCATGGGTTGAGGGGGGCCGGGCTGGGAGGAGAAGTTCTGGTGGGGGTGTTGGTGGGGGTGAGGGGGGCCTGGGGGCATCTGCTGGGGGTGTTGGGGAGACTGGAGGGACTGCAGCTGAAAGGGTTGGTGGTGCTGCTGGTGCTGGTGTTGGTGGGGCAGAGGGCTCTGTAGCAGGGGCTGGCCCATCAGGGTCTGCTGCACCATGGTCTGAGGGGGCATCATGGCCTGAGCTAAGGGGGGCTTGTTGAGGGAGCCCTTATCGTCCCAGGTGCCAATGTTCATGTTGTGCTTGATGGGTGGCGGGGGAATGGCAGGGGTCCCCATCCCCATGTTGGCTTTGGGCTTGACCTTGGGCTGGGGCTTGGCCGGCTTCCTGGCGATGGCCGCCCAGGAAGTGGGTTTGGGGGCAGAGGAACTAACCAATGGAGGCATGTTATTTGCCGCCATACTACTCATGCCCAACGTGCCCCCGAGGGGTGAGCCGACAGTCTTGGTGACGGCAGCGCCCATGTCCGTGCCCAGTTTTAACCCAGTCATGCCCTGCTCGATGCTGCTCAGCACCGGGACCTTACTGAGCTGGGTGTCACTGCTGAAGCCCGCCTGTCCGTCAGCTATAGCCCTCCCCAGGGAACTAGGTGTGTAACCATAACTATTACTATAGGCGTTGCTCTGTGTGGACTGGCCCTGAGAGACACTGGTGCCCCAGGTGGAATAGTCTGCGTTTCCAGGGAAGAAGTTGAAGCCGTGCTGGCTGAGGAAGGGAGGGGTGTTGCCCAGGGCGCCCGGCTGGCTGAGGAAGGGAGGGGTGTTGCCCAGGGCGCCCGGCTGGCTGAGGAAGGGAGGGGTGTTGCCCAGGGCGCCCGGCTGGCTGAACACCCCGTCGGGGATAAAGTGGTGCTTGCCGTTGCTCATCTGTCCGTAGGTGGTCAGGTATGGCATGGGGGGATCCCCCGCGGTGGACCAGGGGGCCTCCCCCAGGGAGTAAGGAAAGCCTATGGAGGGAGCATAGTAGCTGGGCATGTAGGGGTCGGACATTGGTGGGTAGCTGTTATTCTGTAGATGGGGAGAACAGGGGTCAGTTAATGGATGACCTTAGTGATAGTAGCTAAGACAAACCTAATCTTGCCCATCTCTGCTCAAAAGCGTAACTAAGAAATAAAATCAGCGTTTCTTTAAAGGAGCAAGACTGGCTTTCAGTAGAAATGATGGATACTAGCTCTATCAAATATCTGTTTCCCTTAGCAAGAAGTGAAGTTAGCAACAGTGTTAAAATAATCTGTCAGTTGTTGTTGTAATAATTGTTAGAGTTTGTATGGATTCATTTCATAAGTAAATTGGCGTGGCCTATGGTGGGTTTGTTCTTGGCTACATTTCAATAGAATTCTGTAAAACAAAGTAAGCTTGTCACCCACGCAGAAGATTAACACCACCCAGAGTATTTTTAATCAACAATAATTTCACTCATAGCTAAATTATTTTACTTTTCAAAATGAGTGTTAGTTATCTATCAATAGCTTCTTATTAACATAGGCCTACTATACAGTGTCTTTGTTCAGAGGTAATACTCTATACACCAGCCATCCTCAATAGGCAGACAGCGGTCCGTATCCAGACCCAGAACAGGGTCAACACATTTTACATTTACATTTTACATTTTAGTCATTTAGCAGACGCTCTTATCCAGAGCGACTTACAGTTAGCGCATACATTATTTTATCGAACCCACAACCCTGGCGTTGCAAACGGCATGCTCTACCAACTGAGCTACATCCCCTGCCGGCCATTCCCTCTCCTACCCTGGACGACGCTGAGCCAATTGTGCGCCGCCCCATGGGTCTCCCGGTCGCGGCCGGCTACGACAGAGCCTGGATTCGAACCAGGATCTCTAGTGGCACAGCTAGCACTGCGATGCAGTGCCTTAGACCACTGCGCCACTCGGGAGATAATGATTTAAAAAAATAACATTCAAATAATTCTGGGTACCAATTAAGTACCTTACTGTAATAGATTTCCATTAAAATTGGCAAAAATAGCTAATTTAGCAAAAAACTCTTTCTCAAGCAAGAATTTTGCTAGGACTGTCTGGGAGGAGTCTGAGTGGGAAGGGGGAAAACTAGCTGTTATTGGCAGAGTGGTTTGAAGCTCTCTTTGTTCGCATGGGTCGCGAGGTGGGGGTTTGTTACTACGCCGATAAATGCCTAGGAAATCTGTGTGACCGGACCTCCTCAAATAGTATTTGAGTACCCATGCTATACACCCTCATATGTAGCCTGACCCTGTACCGCCATCTGACACTATTCTGAGGGTTCATACAGATCAAAAGGCTAATCCTCTCTATGCTATGAAATGTCAAGCTGCATGGCTAAAGGCTTGGTTAGAATGGGGATTCACACACACCTGATTTGTCTGGCTGCTTAGGTAAGGTTCAAAGTCTTCATCATTTACTCCTTCCTTCTGATGCATTGATCCGTTTTGTACTGGAGAGGGAGAAAAAAATGTCTTAGGTTATTCTTTAGATGTGATAGAACCATAAAGGTCCCTCAGCTAAATTAAACTATTGTGTTTTAACAGATGTACAACTCAATAATTAACAGTTGATAAACTACTTATAAACCACCTTACATTCCCATTAAGTAGTTGGGGTATGACAACATAGATGGTAACATCACCCAAGAATATGACAAGAACAGCAGTGTATAATATGGTTATAGGGTTTAGTTAGTTAGTTTACCTACTTTTGGCTGATGACACCAGGTCACCAAAAGATGGTTGAAAAGTGATCAGAGCAGTGATTTAATTACACTCTTTGGTTATCACAGTTAGTTTGGCTGTCATCAAACTCCACAACAACCATGCCATCGTAGAAGAATAAGGTGACAAACATACCTTTATTTCCTTGTCCTTTGGGTCTCTGACATCAGAATGGGTGAGTGCAAAAGTGATAGGAAAGAGAGATTTATCAGATTGTGCATAGGCCTATTAGGGAAATGTTTGATAGGAAGAAGAGTGATGGTAGGAATCATGAGAGGTGAGCTAGGCCTAGGCTACTGAATTACAAGCAATGATTCCATAACAGTGGCTGTATATCACTAAATCTTCAAGCGCATTCAGTCCTAGCCTATCGACCTAAGGTTTCCTTTGCATTATTATCAAACGCACACTGACATCCAGTAAACGTGCCGCATAGACAAGTACAGAATTCAGCAACCGGCTCAAGCTGGAGTTTGTTGCCGCCGCTGCGCAGCCGGTACGCTACTTCAAGGTTCGGCCTACATAGCAGCTAGCTATCATATATCAAACACTTTTGCCTGTGTTATATAGCATGCCCACCGCACTGAATGATAGCAGCTGGCAAAAGTGTTGACAAAGTTCATTTGCAACGACACATGTCACGACAGTGGGTTGTCCAAAAATACGCACCTGATCGACTGTGGTTCCAGACATCCTCCAGGAGCCGAAACTGATTGCGGTTTGTGACTGTCCACGGTTTCTCCTGCTTCTGCACTCCGGTATGTCTTCTCGGCTCGTCTCGGGTTATCCAATCTCTCTCTGTATGTAGAGGCAATGTTTTTCTCCAGTCGTCAGATCGCTACAATCTTTTCTCGAGCGCCTGGGATTGCGACTTTGTATCTGTCAGTGATGTTAGCCTAAATGTTTCCAATCTAATTGACGTTTGGCTACAATATCTCACTCACTCTGAAACTGCCTAATGCCAGATTGGAATATACTCTATTCCACAATGGCGGCTGGGCTATTACTCTCGCTTCCGTTCTATTGCTCCATGACCTTCCGCCTGTGACGTTCTGAGTCATGTTACAGACTCATAGTCGTATTTCACATGACATGTCTCAGAAGATTTCATCTTTATTCTACCGTCTACACAACATACTTTTGTTCCCTTGTAGAAATACATTCTGTGTTCCCTTTGTTGTGACAAACTGTGTGACTTCAGGCAGATCTGTCTCTGTCTGCTCAATATCATCAGAATATGTCTCTCTCCAGAGCTATGCCTTGGCTAAAGATCACTGTCATGGGACCTATTTATTGCATATAACATTAATGAAAGGCTTCATTTAATCATTTGCCTACCAGCACATACAGGTCTCCTCATGGACTTGAATGGCATCCTTGAATGTAGATGTAATTTTCCTGATTTATAAGTTGTAGTCCCGTGTAGCTCAGTTGGTAGAGCGTGGCGCTTGCAACGCCAGGGTTGAGGGTTCGTTTCCCACGGGGGACCAGTATGAAGAAAAAAAAATGTATGCACTCACTAACTGTAAGTCGCTCTGGATAAGAGCGTCTGCTAAATGACTCAAATGTAAATGTAGGCTATTGTGGATATATGGACAGGTGCAATACCAAACCTAAAGACCCAGAGATGAAGGTTTGCAAAGTTTGCCACATAACAGAGTGATTGGGAGATTAAAACTGGAAATTTTAACCAGGGTACTAACGTAGTAGGGACCCGCGTTGTAAAAGAATAACGTTGCGTCTGGCAACATTGGTCTTCTCGCGATATGTCCGCAGTGGGTGGTGGAGCCAGAAATATGGCAGCCGTGGTGCTGAGGTCCTGCAGTAAAGGATTTGCTCACATTTTGACGAATAGAGGAGTCGCTACTATCTTGCCAAATACTTTGGGAGGTGAGTATGATACTACAGTTCATAATGTAACGACTTCACTGGAAAATGTATAGGCTACGGAATTATGCCGCGTTCAAAACAACTGGGAACTCGGTAAAATACGAGGTCAAATCATTACATCAGTGATGTTCATGTCGGAAAGTTGGAGCTCTAGAAAGAGGCCCGAGTTCCCGAGTTGGAATTCCGAGTTGGATGACCGTTCAAAAGATTTTTCCCAGTCGGAGCTCGTTTCTTTTCAAGGTCCCAGTTGTTTTGAACGCTTGAAGTCGGATATTTCCGAGTTCCGAGTTCCCAGGTGTTTTGAACGCGGCATTAAAAAGTACAGGAGGGGGGAGTGGCAGAGGCAGGCCCGGTCATCTGAATATATTTTGGTTTTCTCATGCGCATATAAACTGTGCAGCATCTGCGCGTGTTCTAAGATCTCGCACAATGGTGGAAGGGATAATCTTCCAAGTGGCACTACAGTTCCAGTTTAAAAACGCAGGGTAGCCTAGTTTTTAGACAAGACAATCAATGCAAATGCTGGTAAATTAAGTATAGCTTTTATCATACCATTTTGTTTTAATGTGGTAATGTAATGTTATTCTAATGTTCTCAATTTCTTGTATTGAGGAAAGTAACAAAAGTTTCCACCTGAATTGCATTGCATCATAGGCTATTCCGTATCTGTCTCTGTTCAGTCGGTTTTCAAAATGTTACATAAGAATGCCTTAGCTGATCATTCCTTGGTTGACTACTTGCTGATTTTATCTTTCAAGGGTATTGCATGAATCACCCATATAAAACCTACATTTTTATAAGACACACTCCATTCTCATCTTTTGCATTAAATAACTTTTTATAAATATGTCATAGTCAATTGACACAACTGAGTGTGTGTGTGTCCTACAGGGGTGAGACAGAAGTCCTCTGTGCAGTATGTGACAAGGCCAGAGCTCCCCAAGCTGGCCTACCGCAGGGTAAAGGGGAAGAGTCCAGGTGTGGTCTTCCTGCCTGGGTATGGATCCAACATGAACGGCCTGAAAGCTGAGGCCCTGGAGGAGTTCTGCAGGTCACTAGGACATTCATACCTAAGGTACTGTACATTACACGGTCACCCTAAGGCCATGCAAATTTAATTTAAGACCCTAAGGCCATACAAATGAGGTTCATTACCTCCCCCCAACCTATATTTTAAGTATGGTACGCAAATAGACCACCCTCTAACGTGTTACTCAAATAGATTCTGTACTCTCTTTGAATTATTATGCTAGCATAGTACAGATTTTGTTAGATGCTTTATTGTATTTCTGACTGTGGTTCTCCAGGCTCATGTTGTGTTTGTTTCCCCAGGTTTGATTACACAGGCCATGGGTTATCAGAGGGGGTGTTCACTAAAGGGACCATCGGCACCTGGAAGAAAGACGTCCTCTTTGTGTTGGATGAACTAGCAGAGGGGCCACAGGTGAAATAACTCTCCACTGGTGGATCTAGGATCCTATCTAAACTAGCCTTTAGATGCAGTTGAAGTCGGAAGTTTACATACACTTAGGTTGGAGTCATTAAAATTCGTTTTTCAACCACTCCACAAATTTCGTGTTAACAAACTATAGTTTTGGCAAGTCGGTTAGGACATCTACTTTGTGCATGACACAAGTAATTTCTCCAACAATTGTTTACAGACAGATTATTTCACTTATAATTCACTGTATCACAATTCCAGTGGGTCAGAAGTTTACATACACTAAGATGACTGTGCCTTTAAACAGCTTGGAAAATTCCAGAAAATGATGTCATGGATTTAGAAGCTTCTGATAGGCTAATTGACATCATTTGAGTCAATCGGAGGTGTACAGTGAGGGAAAAAAATATTTGATCCCCTGCTGATTTTGTACGTTTGCCCACTGACAAAGAAATGATCAGTCTATAATTTGAATGGTAGGTTTATTTGAACAGTGAGAGACAGAATAACAACAACAAAATCCAGAAAAACGCATGTCAAAAATGTTATAAATTGATTTATAACATTTTTTATTGCATATATCCAGTTATAGACCGTCCCTTTATAACACAGTTATAGACCGTCCCTTTATAATCCAGTTATAGACCGTCCCTTTATAACCCAGTTATAGACCGTTCCTTTATAACCCAGTTATAGACCGTCCCTTTATAATCCAGTTATAGACCGTCCCGTTATAACCCAGTTATAGACCGTCCCGTTATAACCCAGTTATAGACCGTCCCGTTATAACCCAGTTATAGACCGTCCCTTTATAACCCAGTTATAGACTGTCCCGTTATAACCCAGTTATAGACCGTCCCTTTATAATCCAGTTATAGACCGTCCCTTTATAATCCAGTTATAGACCGTCCCTTTATAATCCAGTTATAGACCGTCCCTTTATAACCCAGTTATAGACCGTCCCGTTATAACCCAGTTATAGACCGTCCCGTTATAACCCAGTTATAGACCGTCCCTTTATAACCCAGTTATAGACCGTCCCGTTATAACCCAGTTATAGACCGTCCCTTTATAATCCAGTTATAGACCGTCCCTTTATAACCCAGTTATAGACCGTCCCTTTATAACCCAGTTATAGACCGTTCCTTTATAACCCAGTTATTAGACCGTTCCTTTATAACCCAGTTATAGACCGTCCCTTTATAACCCAGTTATAGACCGTCCCTTTATAACCCAGTTATAGACCGTCCCTTTATAACACAGTTATAGACCGTCCCTTTATAACACAGTTATAGACCGTCCCTTTATAACACAGTTATAGACCGTCCCTTTATAACACAGTTATAGACCGTCCCTTTATAACACAGTTATAGACCGTCCCTTTATAACAGTTATAGACCGTCCCTTTATAACACAGTTATAGACCGTCCCTTTATAATCCAGTTATAGACCGTCCCTTTATAATCCAGTTATTGACCGTCCCTTTATAACACAGTTATTGACCGTCCCTTTATAATCCAGTTATAGACCGTCCCTTTATAACCCAGTTATAGACCGTCCCTTTATAACCCAGTTATAGACCGTCCCTTTATAATCCAGTTATAGACCGTCCCTTTATAACCCAGTTATAGACCGTCCCTTTATAATCCAGTTATTGACCGTCCCTTTATAATCCAGTTATAGACCGTCCCTTTATAACACAGTTATAGACCGTCCCTTTATAATCCAGTTGTAGACCGTCCCGTTATAACCCAGTTATAGACCGTCCCGTTATAACCCAGTTATAGACTGTCCCCTGAGTCGATGATGGCTCTGAAAGCCTTTGGGAGTGGGTCTGTGGATTTGGATTTTTTATTAACCCATCCACCCCCACTCTTCAGAGGACACATATGTTGTTTGTTTTTTACAGCTTTTCTGCTACATACAGTGAGGGAAAAAAGTATTTGATCCCCTGCTGATTTTGAATGTTTACCCACTGACAAAGACATGATCAGTCTATAATTTTAGTAGTAGGTTTATTTGAACAGTGAGAGACAGAATAACAACAACAAAATCCAGAAAAACGCACGTCGAAAATGTTATGAATGGATTTGCATTTTAATGAGGGAAATAAGTATTTGAGCCCCTCTCAATCAGAAAGATTTCTGGCTCCCAGGTGTCTTTTATACAGGTAACGAGCTGAGATTAGGAGCACACTCTTAAAGGGAGTGCTCCTAATCTCAGCGTGTTACCTGTATAAAAGACACCTGTCCACAGAAGCAATCAATCAATCAGATTCCAAACTCTCCACCATGGCCAAGACCAAAGAGCTCTCCAAGGATGTCAGGGACAAGATTGTAGACCTACACAAGGCTGGAATGGGCTACAAGACCATCGCCAAGCAGCTTGATGAGAAGGTGACAACAGTTGGTGCGATTATTCGCAAATGGAAGAAACACAAAAGACCTGTCAATCTCCCTCGGCCTGGGGCTCCATGCAAGATCTCACCTCGTGGAGTTGCAATGATCATGAGAACGGTGAGGAATCAGCCCAGAACTACACAGGAGGATCTTGTCAATGATCTCAAGGCAGCTGGGACCATAGTCACCAAGAAAACAATTGGTAACACACTACGCCGTGAAGGACTGAAATCCTGCAGCGCCCGCAATGTCCCCCTTCTCAAGAAAGAACATATACAGGCCCGTCTGAAGTTTGCCAATGAACATCTGAATGATTCAGAGGAGAACTGGGTGAAAGTGTTGTGGTCAGATGAGACCAAAATCGAGCTCTTTGCCATCAACTCAACTCGCCGTGTTTGGAGGAGGAGGAATGCTGCCTATGACCCCAAGAACACCATCTCCACCGTCAAACATGGAGGTGGAAACATTATGCTTTGGGGGTGTTTTTCTGCTAAGGGGACAGGACAACTTCACTGCATCAAAGGGACGATGGACGGGGCCATGTACCGTCAAATCTTGGGTGAGAACCTCCTTCCCTCAGCCAGGGCATTGAAAATGGGTTGTGGATGGGTATTCCAGCATGACAATGACCCAAAACACACGGCCAAGGCAACAAAGGAGTGGCTCAAGAAGAAGCACATTAAGGTCCTGGAGTGGTCTAGCCAGTCTCCAGACCTTAATCCCATAGAAAATCTGTGGAGGGAGCTGAAGGTTCGAGTTGCCAAACGTCAGCCTCGAAACCTTAATGACTTGGAGAAGATCTGCAAAGAGGAGTGGAACAAAATCCCTCCTGAGATGTGTGCAAACCTGGTGGCCAACTACAAGAAACGTCTGACCTCTGTGATTGCCAACAAGGGTTTTGCCACCAAGTACTAAGTCATGTTTTGCAGATATTTATTAAAATGCAAATAAATTTATAATATTTTTGACATGCATTGTTCTGGATTTTGTTGTTGTTATTCTGTCTCTCACTGTTCAAATTAACCTACCATTAAAATTATAGACTGATCATGTCTTTGTCAGTGGGCAAACGTACAAAATCAGCAGGGGATCAAATACTTTTTTCCCTCACTGTATACATACATTTTACATATACATTTTGCATACACATTTTGTATACATGGTACTTTTATATAAAACAATCACATAACAATAATACATTACCAAACATAACCTCTTTAATCCCACCTTTGGTTTCCATGTGCCATATATTTTTCAATTGTGCTGTGATATTTTACATACATTTTGAACCTTTCTAATCGTAGAGTATTCACAGATTGTGAGCCAAAGATGAAAACCTTTCTTACAAGTATTATTATATTATTTATTGATTGACTATGGCTTTCCAAATCGCCCAACACTGCTATTTGTAAGGTTAATTTTAAGTGAATGTTGTGATTTTTTTAACCATTCCTGAACCTGTGACCAGAAACAAGCTACATAGGGGCAATACCAGAATAAATGAGTCTGTGGACTTTTCCATGTGAATATTAAAGTCTCCAAAAATTAGAATATTATCTGCCATGACTACAAGGTCCGATAGGAATTCAGGAAACTCAGTGAGGAACGCTGTATATGGCCCAGGAGGCCTGTAAACAGTAGCTATAGAAAGTGATTGAGTAGGCTGCATAGATTTCATGACTAGAAGCTCAAAAGTAGAAAACGCAGTAAAAAAATGTTTGTAGATTTAAATTTGCTGTCATTAATGTTAGCAACACCTCCGCCTTTGCGGGATGCATCGGTGATATGGTCACTAGTGTAACCAGGAGGAGAGGCCTCATTTAACACAGGAAATTCATCAGGCTTGAGCCATGTTTCAGTCAGGCCAATCACATCAAGGTTATGATCAGTGATTAGTTCATTGACTATGACTGCTTTGGAAGTAAGGGATCTAACATTAAATAACCCTATTTTGAGATGTGAGATATCACAATCTCTTTCAATAATGACAAGAATGGAGGAGGTCTTTATTCCAGTGAAATTGCTAAGGTGAACACCGCCATGTTTTGTTTTGCTCAACCTAGATCGAGGCACAGACACGCTCTCAATGGGGATAGCTGAGCTGACTACACTGACTGTCCTAGTGGCAGACTCCGCTACGCTGGCAGGCTGGCTAACAGCCTGCTGCCTGGCCTGCACCCTGTCTCATTGTGGAGCTAGAGGAGTTAGAGCCCTGTCTATGTTCATGGATAAGATGAGAGCACCCCTCCAGCTAGGATGGAGTCCGTCACTCCTCAGCAGGCCAGGCTTGGTCCTGTTTGTGGGGGAGTCCCAGAAAGAGGGCCAATTATCTACAAAAGCAATATTTTGGGAGGAGCAGAAAACAGTATTCAACCAGTGATTGAGTTGTGAGACTGCTGTAGAGCTCATCACTCCCCCTAACTGGGAAGGGGCCAGAGACAATTACTCGATGCCGACAAATCTTTCTAGTTGATTTACACGCTGAAGCTATGTTGCGCTTGGTGACCTCTGACTGTTTCATCCTAACATCGTTGGTGCCAACGTGGATAACAATATCCCTATACTCTCTACACTCACCAGTTTTAGCCTTAGCCAGCACAATCTTCAGATTAGTCTTTACGTCGGTAGCCCTGCCCCCTGGTAAACAGTGTATGATCGCTGGATGATTCATTTTAAGTCTAATATTGTGTGTAATGGAGTCGCCAATGCCTAGGGTTTTCAATTTGTCCGAGCTAATGGACTTCTCCTCAATAGTCATATTTGATGCTTCCACGTTGTGCTGTTTATTTCTGATAGTGTTCAAAACCTTTGAAGATGTCCAGTGTAAGCAGATATGCAATTTGTTGTCATCACAGTACAGACTTGGATACACATTATCCCAAATGCTAATCAATAAAAATGTCTGTTAAATACGCTGCTCTGTTTTGCTTGTTAACAGCGGGTCATTTCATAGGGAACTGTCGGAGGACCTCTTGTATTGTTACAGCACCAACATGTAGAGAATAAAGGCGCTAACATGGCAGCCGTTCTAAAACCTGGCCCAACTCTCTATATACAGGGCATTCGGAAAGTATTCAGACCCCTGGACTTACAGCTTTCTTCTAAAATTGATTAAATTGTTTTTTTCCCCTCATCAATCTACACACAATACCCCATAATGACAAAGCAAAAACAGGTTCAGAGATAGTTTTTGCAAGTTTAGAAAAAATAAATAAATGAAATATGACATTTACATAAGTATTCAGACCCTTTACTCAGTACTTTGTTGAAGCACCTTTGGCAGCGATTACAGCCTTGAGTCTTCTTGGGTATGACGCTACAAGCTTGGCACACAGTTGTATTTGGGGAGTTTCTCCCATTCTTCTCTGCAGATCCTCTCAAGCTCTGTCAGGTTGGATGGAGAGCATCGCTGCAAAGCTATTTTCAGGTCTCTTCAGAGATGTTCGATCGGGTTCAAGGCCGGGCTCTGGCTGGGCCACTCAAGGACATTCAGAGACTTGTCCCAAAGCCACTCCTGCGTTGTCTTGGCTGTGTGCTTAGGGTTGTTGTCCTGTTGGAAGGTGAACCTTAGTCTGAGGTCCTGAGCGCTCTGGAGCAGGTTTTCATCAAGGATCTCTCTGTACTTTGCTCCATTAATCTTTTCCTCGATTCGGACTAGTCTCCCAGTCCCTGCCGCTGAAAAACATCCCCACGGCATTATGCTGCCACCACCATGCTTCATCGTAGGGATGGTGCCAGGTTTCCTCCAGACGGGAAGCTTAGCATTCAGGCCAAAGAGTTCAATCTTGGTTTCACCAGACCAGAGAATCTTGTTTCTCATGGTCTGAGAGTCCTTTAGGTGCCTTTTGGCAAACTCTAAGTGGGCTGTCATGTGTCTTTTACTGAGGAGTGGTTCCGTCTGGCCACTATACCATAAAGGCCTGATTGGTGGAGTGCTGCAGAGATGGTTGTGCTTCTGGAAGGTTCTCCCATCTCCACAGAGGAACTCTTGAGCTCTGTCAGAGTTACCATCGGGTTCTTGGTCACCTCCCTGACCAAAGCCCTTCTTCCCCGATGCTCAGTTTGGCCGGGCGGCCAGCTCTAGGAAGAGTCTTGGTGGTTCCAAACTTCTTCCATTTAAGAATGATGGAGGCCACTGTGTTCTTGGGGATATTCAATGCTGCAGACATTTTTTGGTACCCTTCCCCAGATCTGTTGCTCGACACAATCCTGTCTCGGAGCTCTACGGACAATTCCTTCGACCTCATGGCTTGGTTTTTGCTCTGACATGCACTGTCAACTGTGGGACCTTATATAGACTGGTGTGTGCCTTTACAAATCATGTCCAATTTACCACAGGTGGACTCCAATCAAGTTGTAGAAACATCTCAAGGATGATCGATGGAAACAGGATTCACATGAGCTCAATTTCGAGTCTCATAGCAAAGGGTCTGAATACTTAAGTAAATAAGTTATTTCTGTTTTCTATTTTTAATACATTTGCAAAAAAATTATAAAAACCTGTTTTTGCTTTGTCATTATGGGGTATTGTGTGTATATTGTTGAGGATTTTTATTTATTTAATCCATTTTAGAATAAGGCTGTAATGTAACAAAATGTGGAAAAAGTTAAGGGTTCTGAATACTTTCCCAAAGCACTGTATTTGTCTGCTGTGGTGTGTTTAGTGACACATTTTTCCACAAGGGGGCACTGTGTCACACAAATGTAATAGCATCTCACCACCATGTAAAGTTCACACCATTAAATCAGTACCAGAGTATCATAGCCTCCGTGCCAGGATTCAAGGCTGTCCTAGACATTAATCAGACACACAGCTAGTGAATGACACCGTTAGCAGGGCCAGAGTCACCAATGGCTGATATTACTCCCAATGTTCCTGTGATGATGGTTTACAGTCAAGGTTAGGACTACAGGCTGTGGTTAGTGGTTAGAATCACATTTGTGTTTAGAAACTGCTGTTCTTCTGTCCATTGTAGCGATAGCTAGATAGTGACACCCATGGTGCTTCTCTGCAGAAGACTCAGTTCAAATGGAAAAAAAGGAGACAAGGAGAGGAGACAACGAGACAAGCCAAGCAATCCATATCAAACTATTGGTATTTCTATGTACCCTTGCTCCCTATCCTAGGTCTAGGCATCTTTAATGTAATCATGTTTTTCCCCATGGTCTCTGTTTAGATCATGGTGGGGTCTAGTATGGGCAGCTGGCTCATGCTGTTGGCAGCTATCGCCAGGCCGGAGAAGACTGCAGCTCTTGTGGGGATCTCCACGGCAGCAGACCACGTCATCACAGCCTTCAAGTCAATGTCTCTAGAGGTGAGAGAGGACATTATGAAATAACCCCTGGATTACTATGAATGACATTAACTAATGTACATGTGATTATGACCAGAGTTGGAGCTAATTCCATTTCTATTCAGGCAATTCAGGGGTGTGGTGAATTGAAATTCAATCATCTGTGTGAAGGTCAATTCATTGTTTGATTTAAAATGGAATTGATCCCGTTTCACCACAGGTGCGTAAGGAGATTGAAGAGAAGGGTGTGCTGACGGTGCCCACCAAGCACAGCGAGGAGGGCGCCTACACGTTCACCATGGACTTCCTGAAGGAGGCAGAGAACCACTGTGTCCTCCAGAGCCCCATTCCCATCACCTGCCCCGTGAGGCTCATCCACGGCCTGAAGGACGACGACGTACCCTGGCACATCTCCATGCAGGTGGCAGAGCGCGTCCTCAGCCCCGACGTGGACGTCATCCTCTGCCGCCACGGCCAGCACCGCATGGCCGAGAAAGACGACATCAAGCTCATGGTCTACACCATCGACGACCTCATAGACAAGCTGACCACACTCGTTTGAGTCGGTGGAAGGATTAAGGAAGGGAAAGGGGGGGGGGGGGTTGAGTTGGGAATCCCCCCCATTGGAGCTGCTCCTACCTCCCAGCCATATAGGATCCCTTTACCCTTCCTCCCAGTCTGCCCCTGGTCAGTTTATCCTAATGATGCTGTTACAAAGAGAAGGAGAGAAAGAGGAGACAAAATAGAGAGAAACGAGGATCACCGAAAGTACAAACTGTGATGGCTCGTCTGTCAGAAACCTCAGCCAGGTCCTTGATGCGTGCCTTGGGGAGGGAGTGTGACTTTTACTAGTTCCAGTTTACTCTGTGCAGTGTTGTTTTGGTCAACCTTTCTATGGGCCATGCTGCCACTGCTAATGCTGCCGCTGTTTGTTTGACAGAACATCCTGGTCCTTTTGCCAGACCCCAATAGTTTTCCTGTGCCTTTTTTACCACGTCTCACCCTGTTGGGCCAATAAAGCCTCTGCACACCAGAGTGGACTGCAGGTCTCGTCTGTTACTCTGCATGCAGATATATGAGCTGTTATTGAGTTAATACAATCCACACAAACAACAAGCTCCATCAAACTGCCTCATATGCAGAAGCACTGTGAAATAGTGTGATGCCCCGCCCTACCGAAAATACTATCTCAAAATAGCAAAAGAAAACCCTTCAACTCAAGAGGAAACATAAAATAAAGGTTAATATTATGAGCACCACATCCCAGAGGCCCCATAGAATGTTAAAATAACCACCAAAGATCACTCAAAGATCGCCTTGTTTTATTTATTTTCATAATATACATCCCATAGGTTTGTTGTAATGAAACGCCCGGCCCAGTTGGAGCCAATGGGCTGTTGATTAGCATGTCGTTGGTCATTGGACTGTGTTCAATGGGGCAGAAAGCCAGTCCTGCTGCAGCAGAAGCAGTAACTCTCTGTGATCCCCTAACTGCTGCGCTGACCTTTCACTCTTAGGCAGAAGGTATGCAATCAGTCACCTCCGCATCACAACACCAACCGGGTGACATCACTCAAACGTATGCATGCATCGGGGAGTAAAAACCCCCGCCTGGGTTATGTTTAATATAGATCACTGAGGAACTGACTAATATGTAGTGACAAGGGCTGGAAATACATACACACATATACAGTGATGGTGAGAATACTCCTCTAGTTATTTTAGCCTGACAGTCATATAGTACAGATGCTATGTTCAAAAGCTTTTCTGATATTCAGACATTCTAGAAAAGCATTAATCTCTATTTCCTGTATTTCAATGCTGTCTGGAGACTTTTTCCAGTCTGTGATGCAAGTTGTCATATCAGTACTGTAGAGCACACCGCACCCAGCCTCTCTTTCCAGATCTATCTGGTGTCCACTTCTGTAACTCTAACCCAATTAAAGCAGAGCAATGGCTCTCATTATTGAAACAGAGAGACAAGCTGCAACAGCCACTAACGGGCTGTTCTGTGCCTTCCAAATCTACAGAAACATTTAAGGTAGACATAAACGTGAAAGCCTTGTATTTCTCTTGTTCTATAAATTGTGATTCTGCGCTTCATCAGGTGTATTGTTGTTAGCAACTAATGGGGATCCTAATAAAATACTACATACTGAGAGTATTAAGGCCAAATACATCAACAATGAGAAGTGAACACTTTATGTCATGTGCCTTTAGAAATCATCCATGGGCATGATGATATGATGGTCAGCCTATATAGCCTTAGCTGGGTTGGGGCCGGGGGACTCTCCTTGCTGCCCACCTCCTCTTGTTTCTACTGTCCTGTCGCAGTCTGTATGAGACATCTCGAGGGATCCTCCTCGTGGCGCCCGCACATATAAAACCGGTGGTGTGCCACTCCCGGACACTTAGTCAAGAGCCTAGCCCCACGCACGCGCCTTAGCCACCGCTTCATGGATGCTTCAGCAGTTCAGCATCCTCTACCCTGACCAGCTCAGCAACATTTACATCACGGCAGCTACAGGACGAAAGATACGTTATCTCTCCTCTTCTTTATAGTAAGTGTACCCAGAGCTTTTATTCGTTCAAATGATTATTTATTGAGAGCATGAAACATTAGTGTGTATATATATATATATATATATATATATATATATATATATATATATATATTTGTGGATTAATAATGAAACGTCACTGCTAGTTAATTCAATTGCCTAGGGGCTATTCGGGAAAACTTGTATGACTAAAATGTATAAATTATAATCTGCCTTCCTGATTTCTAAATCTGTTTTATTGTGGAAAAAAAGTTATGCTTTTTTTTCGCATTCATAGTAGGCTACATAATCAATGCAATGCGATTGCTTTTCGATGTTACGCTCAGCACGCACACAGTCTAGGCTACCTCATTAGAATGTGCGTGTCCATGTGCAGGACGGGTGCCAAGGACCACACCCATTCCGGCAAGAGCTCTGGTTCTCTGGGGATGCGCCTGGTGCCTGTCCTGTAAGGGGCACAGTTGCCATTAGGGAGAAAGCAGAGGATAGAGTGTGAGGAAAGGACGTGAAATTAGGAAAACAACAGGTGATGCCGTTTATGATTAGAAAAACTATGGCAGGTAGCTTAATGGTTAAAAGCGTTGGGCCAGTAACTGAAAGTTTCGAATCCCGAGCCAACTAGGTGAAAAATATGTCGATGTGCCCTTCCTTGAGCAAGGCACTTAAACCTAATTGCTCTAAATGACAAAAAAATTAAAATAAATGCTGTCTCATAATGAACAAAGTGACTTCTATGAAGCCTATGCATTATTTATGGACAGATGTCAAAAACTGGATGTTAATACAGACATTATATTGCTTGACAATGTTCAGTTTTCTACATGATGGATTGTTTTTGTGTAGCAGGTGCAGGCTGCCAGTGCTGTAACTGTCCCAGGGTGTTGGTCAGCAGAGCTGCAGACTACTTCTCTGTCCGTCTGTCTGTCTGTCTGTCTGGGTGAGCAGGACAGGAGGAGCCATGGCTAACAGGGGACCCAGCTACGGGCTGAGCAAGGAGGTGCAGGAGAAGATAGAGCTGAAGTATAATCTGGACCTGGAGGCCCGGCTGCTGGACTGGATCGTAGCTCAGTGTGGAGGGAACCTGGAGAGACCACAGCCAGGCAGACAGAACTTCCAAACCTGGCTAATGGATGGAACAGTGAGTCTGAATGAGAATGAACAAGCTCAATAAGACTGGACCGCAGTCAGTGATAGAGGACGATCGCTTATACAAGCTAACAATGACACCAATTTATGCTCTCCTCTGCTTTTTCTTTGTCTCTCTCTCTCCCTCTTTTCATTGACCAATCTCTTCCTTTCTCCCTCTCTACTTCTCTTCTTTATCCATGTATCTGTATTCCTCTTCCTCCCTCTTCTTCCTCCTCCTCCCTGTAGATTCTGTGTAGGCTCATCAATAGCCTGTACCCGCGTGGTAAGGAGCCCATCAAGAAGATTCCGGAGACCCAGATGGCCTTTAAGCAGATGGAGAAGATCTCCCAGTTCCTGCAGGCTGCAGAGGTCTACGGAGTCATCACCACAGACATCTTCCAGACCGTGGACCTGTGGGAAGGTGAGCTGCACGTTCACTGACTCATATCATGTCTCCATACATCCATGTGACATTGACATGCTTGTCCAATGACGGGGAGTCTCACAGTCTTGTCTCTGCTGAGCTCTGTCTGCCTGTACGGTACCTTCAATACTCACATTACATTTACAAGATCCTTTATAGTCTGAGTACCAGTCTGTTTCTGCTAACATTCCACTCATTGTACTCCGTGTCATATGACACAGAGTGGCAAGGAGTGGAATGATAGCTAAACAGACTGGTACCCAGGCTATTTATAGTCCACTATATAGGTCATACTCCATGGAGACATTTAAAATATTTTTTTGGGGACAAATGACTCAAGAGGTAGCTGTGTCTAAGTTTGTTTAATTTGGAACCTGTTTGCCTATTTGATGCCCAGCCTGTTCTTTGCTGTCTGGGTGTGGTCCAGTGTTTGTGAGGACTGTTGCTATGGTTACAGGGAAGGACATGGCTGCGGTGCAGAGAACCCTGATGGCCCTAGGTAGTGTTGCCCTCACCAAGGACGACGGACATTACCGTGGCGACCGCGACTGGTTCCACAGGTAATGGACTGGCCACGACCCCTTACTTGGAAAACTCTGTGGCAGTGTTATCTGAATGTTTTGTGAGTGTTGTTCTACGTCTCAACTGTCCTGTCTGTCCTGGTCTGTGTAGGAAAGCCCAGGGTTACCGGCGGGAGTTCTCTGAGGACCAGCTTCGTCAAGGCCAGAGTCTGATTGGTCTTCAGATGGGCAGCAACCGCGGGGCCTCTCAGTCCGGCATGACGGGCTACGGATCACACCGCCAGATCATGTAGAGATACCAGCGTGCCACTCAGCCAGCTGCCAGCCGTTCCCTCAGCATGGCTGTGTACTCCAGAAAAAAGCTCCATCACGCCCCTGGAACCTCATGATATGACCCAACCAATTTCCCCCCTTCCCCAGAAGCACCAGCAAATCACACACGCACACACATACACACACACTTTTACTGTTTATCCTCAACCCAAACGGAGTGCTCCTTATACCCCAACCACACCATGATTTCTACAGACCTCAGTGCTTTCTGCTTACCCCACCCCCACTCTCCAGTCCTCCTTGGTCCCACTCTCTCCATCCATATGGTCCCACTCTATCCATCCATATGGTCCCACTCTCTCCATCCATATGGTCCTGCTAGCCATTCCCTTCAGTGGATGAAGTCTTAGTAATTCAGTCGGTACAGAGAACCCAAGGTTGAAGTCATCCCTCTACAAAACAAGCAAATAGTATTTTACACTTCTAACAAATATTACAGCACGACAACGTTATAGCATGCTACATATTTTAATTATTTAACTCTGTTTGTATGTACAGTAGGTGTGTCTGAGTCATTGTATAGTCATTTGGGAATGTTTGCTATACCTCATGAAATGTTTCATGTGTAACCGAATGCAACTCAGTGAGCGATGATGCCTCTGCTGTCTTGTGTGAATATGTGAAGACTTTGAGGTAACTTCTGTAACCAAATGACCATCACATTGTGCCTGGTTAATATAGTAAAGGGACCATAAATGATGCCTTGTATAAGAGATGCCACCCACCCTAATGCAGAGGAATGTATAGACCTAAATTCAGTTCTGTTTTATTACTAACATTCTGTGATGTGCATTTATTACTTATTTATGTAATGTACATGTATGTGTCCACTGTCCATATGTGTTTCAGCCAATCCCATGATTGTTAAAGAGCCACCGTATGAAAGTGACACTAGGATCATTCTGTTCCAGGCCTGATATTGCTTGAATGTATTTTTTAAAATTCATTATAATTTGTAATGTTTACATAAAAAAATATGTTTATATCTGAAAGCTTGTGTGTAGAGTATATGACCAATAAATTGATGAAAACTGATTCTGGAATCATGTATTATTTTTCTGATCTGTGAAATATACTAAATAAAGTCATTGCTCTTGGACATCTAGATATTTGGTTTGCTAATATATTTCTCAATGGATTTCCAGCATCAGGGAAGTATACCAGACTTCTAAGGAACGCTATCTGTGAAGATAAGAGAATGTTGCTTGAAACTCTTCCTAAGCATTCCTTTGGGGGTAGGGACGGCTGTAAAGGTTCTAGAACACTAACTGGAAAGGTCAGAGTTTATGGCAATGGTGGAATTTATGGGGTAAAACATTTAACAACATTGCTCTATTGATGTTTCAGATATAGAAGATAAACACACATGAGGTAACATCTCCCTGGTCTTGTGTTCTGTTGCTAATGATTTCAGGCGCTAGCTAAGGGACGTTTTATCCTACTTTGACATTAAAAATGAAATCCATTAGGACAAATTAGGCATCTGATATTCATCTTGCTCTTTATCCCTGATAGCCCCTGCACATTTTAGTTTGATGACCTCATTCAGGGTCCAAGCTGATCATTACCCTTCCAGAGAATGGGGAACATTCTAGAAGGTGACAGGTGATGTGGAACGGTGAGGGCTGGACAGACAGAATAAGTAACCTAAAATAGCCGTTATCCTTGTCGAACCAATGGGACGGCTGGCTTGGCAGTTGGCATGGTGATGTCACTAGCTTTTCAGTCCTTGGTAAAGTTTGTGAGGCCTTCTTCGGTGTCTTGGCTCTCCAAACATTCAGCTGTCTCCAGCGCTAAGTTCATATGCATGTGTGTATCTATGCATGTATATGTGTGCGAATGTGTGGGTGTGTATTGGACATAATGCGTTGCGCTGGATTACCCCACTCTTCTGTATTGTGCATCTAGTGCTGAGAATACTTAAGTGGAAGTCTTTGAACATTGGCCCTTGAGGGACCATGGTGGGGGTCAGACTCAGAGTCGCTCTCTTGCTCCTCCTGCTGGCTGTGAGGTGCATAGCACATGAAGAATTCAAGAAGAACGGATGTGTTTGTGGACACCCAGGAATACCAGGAGACCCAAGCCACAACGGAATGCCAGGCCGAGATGGACGAGACGGGTTCAGAGGTGACAAGGGAGACCGAGGTAAGACTAAGGCACAACCTCCTCAGTTAGCTAGGTCTCAATAGAAACCAGCCTTTCTGGTCCCATGCTGACACATTTTTTAAAGTTCTTGGTCATTTTATTAATTAAAGGGGAAATTGGCGTCACTGGACCAACAGGACAGAGTGGCCCCATAGGAGACAAAGGAGATCTGGGTAAGACTGTATTTTATAAGGAAAAATACTTTGTACGGTTATCACCACTGGCTTTCTCTGACAAGCAATATTAACATAATTCCTTTATCCTTGTATCTGCAGGTACGGCTGGCCTGGCAGGAATTAAGGGAAAATGGGGTGAGAATGGAGAGAAGGGGCCACCGGGGAAGATGGGGCCCCAAGGAGTCTCAGGGCCCATGGGCCTCAAGGGCCAGAAGGGGGAGCTCGGGTTACCAGGACCCCAGGGGCCAAAAGGGGATTTGGGGCCTCTGGGACCTGAAGGGCAGAAGGGGGAGATCGGGTTCCAGGGGGTGCGAGGCATCCAGGGGCCCTTGGGACCCCCAGGACGACCAGGTCCGAAGGGAGACCTCGGCCCCCCAGGGTTCAAAGGCAACATTGGTTACCACGGAGAGCAAGGGAACCGGGGCGAGACAGGGGACAAGGGGGAGAAGGGGGACACATTATTCATCCCAAAAAGTGCGTTCTCAGTGGGTTTAACCGAATACACCAAACTCCCACCGGCTAACGTGCCGATCAGGTTCGACAAGGTGATCTACAACAGGCAGGACCGTTACGACCCACAGACCGGACGGTTCACCTGCGCTGTGGCTGGGGCCTACTACTTCACCTACCACATCACTGTGTTCTCCCGTAATGTTAAAGTAGCATTAGTGAGAAACGGGGTGAAGGTGATCCACACCATGGATAACTACCAGAGCAGTGAGGACCAGGCAGCAGGCGGGGCTGTCCTGCACCTGGAGAAGGGGGACAAAGTGTGGCTGCAGGTGGATGGAGGAGAGCTCTTGAACGGGCTGTTTGCTGATGAAGATGATGATACAACCTTCTCTGGGTTCCTGCTCTTTGGTGCAGATTAGGCTCACATGGCTCAGTGAATTTGCTCGTGGAATGTTACGTGGGAAATTCACAAAAAAACATGTGTTATTATTACCACCTGTTATAGATGAATTGAATAGCCTACAATAATAATACATATTTTAATCAAATATGAATATAAATTAAACAACAGGTTTGTGTAATATTTTGATGCTACAGCTGATATAGCCTATCATTTAAGATAATCTCTCCCCTGATAACTCACCAATCATTTAAGATCATCTCTCCCCTGATAACTCACCAATCATTTACATTTTACATTTTAGTCATTTAGCAGACGCTCTTATCCAGAGCGACCAATCTATGGCAGATTTCCTGTGACAAGTGTTCTTGTATCTTGTTTGATTTCAATACAATAATATACACTGTAAAATCCCCTTGACTGTCTTTAATTTACTACTCCTGTGTACAATGTAATATGCTGGTTACAATATTCAGAAATCACTGTGTGCCAATAGGCTATATCAGCTGGTGTAATGTCATATGAATTCATGGGTGCGGGCATGATTTGAAAATACTTAGGTATGAGGAAACAGGCTGAGATTATACCACAAACTGAAAGATCCTGTAGTTTTTTAAAGGCATTCCAAATGTTGGTGCCAGAAATGACGTCCAAAGACGATAGCACTTGTATATATAATACACGGCTGTTTTTTCTCAACGGAGCGCAACCTGCTATGGGCGTGCATTACTGCCGTGTTCACGTTCTGTTTAACTTGGCTCTCCGCGCTGTGGTCCTCTTGCGGTCAGACCACAACAAAATCTGAGCAAAACGTCCTTTGAGTAAATGTGGAACGCAAACTCCGCCCCCAAGCAATCACTGCAACAAGTGCACTGATGCCCCCCACCCGTAACGACAGCTCGAGCTGCAAAGAATCGACCAGCCTCCCACACTTGAGTACCAACGGATTTCTGAGTTTGTTTGAACCACTTTTTAAGGGAATTGTATTGACTCCCCACTTTCCCCATTTATCCACTTGCATAGCCAACGGCGGATGCTTACTTGCCCGAAACCTTTCACCAAGCGAGCTTTCAGTTTTGTGAATATTTTAGAACTTCCCAGTTAGCTAACGTTAGCCTACTGTTTGATGTCGCAAGGAGCGAAGTTAGCCATTTGTCTCGAGATCTTACAAGCCAGTTTATCCAGCAGCAGTAGCCTGCTACTTCCGACATGTTTTCGTGTGTAATCCTCGATTGCAGGACCCAGCAGACCTTTGGACCTAAGTAGCTAGCTTGCTAACTAACCATTTTAGTAAAGCGTTGACCGAGGATGGCTAACTAATCAACAAAAACAGCTGCTACTCTGTTGATGAGAAATATCAGTGGCACAGAACAACACGACTATGAGAAGGGTAAGCAAATGTTACCAACTTGCAGTTGAATGCAATATCAATTTGTTCCATTGTAAAAAATAAATAATGTATGGCTTATATCAAACGGGTGAACTATTTTTATATAGGATTTAAATGTGTCATTCAGTCAATATTGATCAAATTCGTTTGGGTTCTAGCATTGGTTTGTTTCTGTAACGTTAACGAAGAAAATAGGGGGGTTATTGTAGTGCATTACTCCCCCGGTTGTTATAGTGATGTGGGGTATGCCAGGCACTTCTATAGAGGTGGAGAGGAGGGGGTGGGGGCTCGGTCAACTACAAAGTAAGAGGTTTATGGCGAAATCAAAGTTAATTAAAAGCACAAATAAATAATCACTTTTTCCTCGGGGGTGTTTTGCTGGTTTACGCGGAAGAACTGTAATATAATCGCCTTTAACATGTCATTCTCCAGCTCTTTTTCATTCGAAAAATGCCCTGTTACTTATTTCCTTTTCAGTATGGATTTGTAACAGTAGTAGATTGTTTCCTACTGAATGACATCTTTGTAGGCTCGCAAACCCAACTATCACGCGCCCGTACACCAGGGAGATGGAACCACAGAACAGTTCTACATCTATGGATGGAACGCTAGGCGCAGGTGTACAATCGGGTCAGGGTTCTATCCTGCGTCAAGGGAGAACACTCATCTGTTGTTCAGTAGTTTCTCTGAACATATCACACAAACTTTGCATTTTCATTCTAGTATTCCAGTATCCATATACAGTTGAAGTCTGAAGTTTACATACACTTAGGTTGGAGTCATTAAAACTTGTTTTTCAACCACTCCACACATTTCTTGTTAACAAACTATAGTTTTGGCAAGTCGGTTAGGACATCTACTTTGTGCATGATAGTTTTGGCAAGTCGGTTAGGACATCTACTTTGTGCATGACACAAGCAATTTTCCAACAATTGTTTACAGACAGATTATTTCACTTATAATTCACTGTATCACAATTCCAGTGGGTCAGAAGTTTACATACACTAAATTGACTGTGCCTTTAAACAGCTTGGGAAATTCCAGAAAATGATGTCATGGCTTTAGAAGCTTCTGATAGGCTAATTTACATCATGTGAGACAATTGGACGTGTACCTGTGGATGTACAGTTGAAGTCGGAAGTAATAATATATAATAATAATAATAATATATAATATAATAACAATATGCCATTTAGCCGACGCTTTTATCCAAAGCGACTTAGTCATGTGTGCATACATTTTTACGTATGGGTGGTCCCGGGGATCGAACCCACTACCCTGGCGTTACAAGCGCCATGCTCTACCAATTGAGCTACAGAGGACATCATTTGAGTCAATTGGAGGTGTACCTGTGGATGTATTTCAAGGCCTATCTTCAAACTCAGTGCCTCTTTGCTTGACGTCATGGGGAAATCAAAAGAAATCAGCCAAGACCTCAGAAAAAAAATCTCCTAGAGATGAACGTACTTTGGTGCGAAAAGTGCAAATCAATCCCAGAATAACAGCAAAGGACCTTGTGAAGATGCTGGAGGAAACAGGTACAAAAGTATCTATATCCACAGTAAAACAAGTCCTATATCGACATAACCTGAAAGGCCGCTCAGCAAGGAAGAAGCCACTGCTCCAAAACTGCCATAAAAAAGCCAGACTACGGTTTGCAACTGCACATGGGGACAAATATCTTACTTTTTGGAGAAATGTCCTCTGGCTGATGAAACAACAATAGGACTGTTTGGCCATAATGACCATCGTTATGTTTGGAGGAAAAAGGGGGGCTTGCAATCCCAACCGTGAGGCACAGGGGTGGCAGCATAGGGGTGCTTTGCTGCAGGAGGGACTGGTGCACTTCACAAAATAGATGGCATCATGAGGAAGGAAAATTGTGGATATGTTGAAGCAACATCTCAAGACATCAGTCAGGAAGTTAAAGCTTGGTCGCAAATGGGTCTTCCAAATGGACAATGACCCCAAGCATACTTCCAAAGTTGTGGCAAAATGGCTTAAGGACAACAAAGCCAAGGTATTGGAGTGGCCATCACAAAGCCCTGACCTCAATCCTATAGAAAATGTGTGGGCAGAACTGAAAAAGCGTGTGCGAGCAAGGAGGCCTACAAACCTGACTCAGTTACACCAGCTCTGTCAGGAGGAATGGGCCAAAATTCACCCAACTTATTGTGGGAAGCTTGTGGAAGGCTACCCGAAACGTTTGACCCAAGTTAAACAATTTAAAGGCAATGCTACCAAATACTAATTGAGTGTATGTAAACTTCTGACCCACTGGGAATGTGATGAAATAAATAAAAGCTGAAATAAATCATTCTCTCCACTATTATTCTGACATTTCACATTCTTAAAATAAAGTGGTGATCCTAACTGACCTAAGACAGGGAATTATTACTAGGATTAAATGTCAGGAATTGTGAAAAACTGAGTTTAAATGTATTTGGCTAAGGTGTATGTAAACTTCCGACTTTAACTGTATTTACACTGGTATATAGGAGACAGTTTCTGTTTCACACACTTGTAAATCCACCGTGTCACAGGACTGGCACATATATGGATATTTGTGGTTTTCCAACTTTGTTTGAACTTTGCCTAATAAATGCTCATGTCCATGGTCTCAGAGATTATGGGTAATTCCGTGGGAAAGTCAACCTGAGCATCCACAAATAAAGTTAGTCATTTCAGAATGAAACCACGTTCATAATTCTTCATATTGAGTTCAGACTTTATTTGAAACATTTAAGTAGGAAATTGTATGAATTTTGACCTTTACAAAGTAGGATACCAAGTCTCAAAGGCTTTTCAGTCAATCATATTTCATTGCTTTTAGAAAGGGCTCATATAGCTTTTTTTCCACTCACAGCTGTCTCCCAGTGTTAGTTATGAAGATGAGCTGTTAATGAAGCAATACAAACCAAATTGAAGTGTCTTGAGTTTGGTTGTTTACAGTCAGCTGTAAAACATGCGCCTTACATCGGATCATCTTGAAACGTTCTCTTTAAAGCTAACTTTCAGCAAGGTTTTAGATGGTCTATAATTGGTTTCTCTCTTTTTATTGTCAGTATCCTTTTTTTCCCGTTATGATATTCGTAACATCCATAATGGTGGTGGATGTGATGGATATTCAAATCAAATGTTTTAATCAAATTTTATTTTCACATGCGCTGAATACAACACCTTGCCGTGAAATGCTTACTTACAAGCCCTTAACCAACAAAGCATTTTAAAGAAAATATGAGTTCCGAAAATATTTACACAATAAAATAACAATAACGAGGCTATATACAGGGGGTACCGGTACCGAGTCAATGTGTGGGGGTACAGGTTAGTCAAGGTAATTGAGGTAATATGTACATGTAGGTAGGGGTAAAGTGACTATGCATAGATAATAAACAGCGAGTAGCAGCAGCGTAAAAAAAGGGAGGGGTCAATGCAAATAGTCCGGGTAGACATTTGATTAACTATTCAGTCTTATGGCTTGGGGGTAGAAGGAGGCTTTTGGTCCCAGACTTGGTGCTCCGTTACCGCTTGCCGGGCGGTAGCAGAGAGAACCGTATGACCTGGGTGACTGGAGTCTTTGACAATTTTTTGGGCCTTCCTCTGACACCGCCTAGTATAGAGGTCCT